CAGGCCATTGACAGTGGCTACTCCTGGGTGGTGAGACTAAGCATGCAACAGTGAGGAAGGTGTATATATAACAACAGGAGAGATTCATGTCTTACTTCTTAATACCTTACAGCTTTGGGAACACAGGTCGCATTACCCTTCTGTACATTTGAATCAAGATTCAAGATATATATAATATGCATACTAGAACTGTCACTTTTTAAATGATATTTGAATAATTGAATAATTTGAAAAATTCCTATTCGAAATGTAATTAAGCCATTTGAATTTCAAAATGCCATTGTACAGATCCATCCATCCATTGTCCAACCCACAAGGGGTCCAGAGCCTATCCCGGAAGCAATGGGCACGAGGCAGGGAACAACCCTGGATGGGGTACCCAGCCCATCGCAGGGCACACTCACACACCATTCACACCTAAGGGCAATTTAGCATCTTTGGACTGCTAAAACCGGAGCACCCGGAGGAAACCCCACGACGACACGGGGAGGACATGCAAACTCCACACACATGTGACCCAAGCGGAGATTTGAACCCAGGTCCCAGAGGTGTGAGGCAACAGTGCTAACCACTGCGCCACCATTCTGCCCCTAGAGCATCAGATCATTTATTGTAATTTTGTTTGCTGTCTCTGGAGCCCCTAATAGGTCAGGGTGGGAAAATATTTGAAATAGTTTTGCAATCCCACTTGCTGCAACATGATGGCAAGATTAAACCTAAATAATACAGACATACTAATAATAATCAATACTTCATTGATCCCTGTGGGGAAATTGTCTTTATGCCTCCCTCAACTTGCTCTTTGCAGTGTAAGCTGTCCATGAAGGGCAGCCACCTGTAGTGGCACCCAGGGAGCTGTGGGTTAAGGGCCTTGCTCAAGGACCCGCAGATGTGCTGAGGCTGGGTTTGAACCAGTGACCTTGTGATTACAGGCACACAGGCTTAGCCCACTGAGCCACACCCCCCCTCCGACATGTCCTAAAAAGTGAGCAGATTTCGTAAGCAGATTAGTAGTGCACCTAAAATGTTAGTGATCTGTATCAGTGTTTCCCCCAGGTTTACAGCTGACAAGCTGTTGTGTAAATAAGATAAATAACATGAGGCTATTTAGTTTGTTTAATAAAAGGACAATGTATAGACCTATTCTATAGGAAAGGTAACCTTAAATGACTTCTGTTGTGATCTGGCACTATATAGAAAATAAAATTAACTTGACCTTCGGGTCAATGGTAGGGGAAACACTGTGTATAAATTTGGCACATCTTTATGTTAAATAAATGTGTGGGACGTTAAACTGCAAAAAGTACCACCACACCGCCGACGTCTTTTTACCTTGTTTATCCAAATGAGCTTCTCTTCCAGATGATAGTGGCTGCTCAGCTGTCCCTTTCTTCACCCCCACTTCAGTGCTTATTGCTTCCACGATACACCAAAGCAGTAGCATGTGGTGTGCTCCGCTAACCGAGTTTAATAAACATAAGGATATACTGATATTATACAGATTACTAACTTTTGGGCGTCACAATACACATCTCATTGACATTTTAGGCGTACTACTAATCTGCTTATCAAATTGCGGGCGTAAGTAAACTTCCGTACAGTACAGAAAAGCCAGCCGCTGGACAAATGTTCACGCACGTGATCTAAAGCCCCAGTGATGATGATATCTTGATCTTGATGACATCTGGTAATATCGTGCAGCCTTAATTATTAGTATTTCTTATTTAAAATCCACATAATAAGCTTATCGGCCATAGGTATCAGTTTTATTATGTCATTTGTTTTGTTTGGCGTCAGTTACTAAGTTTTGGAGTTATACTCCTTTAACTAGTTTTCCCATTGGATTTGTGCATTATAGTACGCAGTTTAAGTGAATGCGAAGTTTTTCAAAATGTATTAGTCGCGTTGTAGCAGGACTGACTGTAGTTAGGTATCTGACTGATCAGCTGGAAATTCTGTGCTGGCATAACTTGAGTGGGGTGATGTCTATTACTCACAGGCCTGTGGTTTCAGGTTTACAAGGGCAAACAGTGT